ACAATGTGAGCACTGAGCTTCCCCCAGTACTGGGATGGCCAAACTGGCTGGGATCAGTCTATTGTTGCAGCTGAACACTGGACACTTCTCTCAGGTTAGCATCAGCTGGGGAATAAGTGCTTAGTGTTTGGAGGCTGTTGGAATAATGACTGTCATTTTCATGCCTTCCTCAGAGCTGATCTCACCAGGAGCTGAGGAGGGAAGAGCTGAGGGAGAACTGCTGACTGCACCACACAGGGCTGTGGGCACAGGGAAAGGCAAAATATACAAAGGCAGAACAAACCTCCTTTGTGTGCTCCTGTTACTGTGCTCATTGTCAGCACCAGGACAAATGGGAGTGGAAATGTGCATCCAGAAAAATGGCTTTTCCTTCCCCATCTCACCCAGGTTGTAATCCCATCCCTGGGAGTGTTCCAGGCCAGGCTGGATGGAGCTTGGAGCATCCTGGACTAGTGGAAGGATGGCAGGGGGTGGGATGAGATGAGCTTTAAAGTCCTTCCAACCCAGATCATTCCATGATTCTGTGAGTCTATAAAGTCTCCAGAGGCTGAGCTTGCAGGAGGTTTTCCATAGCATTCACCCTTCCCAGGATGTTTTCCATAGTATTCACCCTCCCCAGTCTGTCCTTGCATCTCACTGAGCCTCACATGCTCCATGTGGCTTTGGTTGTGCCATTGTTACTGAACAACTTAGCAAGGAGCAACTGGAATTCTGGAAATGAGGGATAGGAATGCTACTGTGCCTTGCTGGACACCCCCAGCCCAAGGTCCAGTATCCAAGGGGAATGCAAAGCAACTGGGGAGGAGGAAGGATGTGTTGTCATTCCTGATTTATCTCTGGGAAGTCAAGGCATTCCAGGAGGGTCAGAGCCAGTCTTAGGCATGTGCTACAGGATCATTTGTCCTCCCAAACCTCCTCCCAAGTGCAGACATGCAAAGGGCTGACAGGGATCTCCTGCCTGCCACAATCCCATTCCTGGGGTACTGCATTGGTTGTAATCAGGGAAGGCAGGAACAGAGGAGGAAGAGAAATTGCAGTGTGAGGATGGACTGACTCCCTGGGGATCCCAAGTTCCCTTTGCAATCATGCCCAGCACAGTGGCTGCCCTGGCTGATGGTCTTGCAGTTTGCTCCAGGGCTCCTGGAGATTAATAGGAATTGATTGCACTCCCTTCCCTGCAGGATCTTGACCTCCTGGCAGGGGGGGAATGTCAGGCCCCTGGAATGGCAGTGCTGAGCAGTAGGAGGCAAATGTGGAGGGAGGAGAGCTTGCCTTGCTCTCTCCTCTCATCACTCACCTTTTGGGGAGAGTAATTGCTGCAAACCATTCTGCCTGCTGTGCAGGGAGCACTGTCCATCCCAGCACTGAGCAGGATGTGGCCCCAGCTCTGTGGGGTCGTGCTGGTCCTCACTGCAGGACTGGCTCTCAGCATGTGTCGTGGGGAGGGAGTTTGTCACCCCCAGGAGGATTTCATGCCAACAGCTGAGCAGTCAGGGAGCTGTTCCTGTGGTGCTCAGGGGGTGATCTCTCTCCCTGCCCCTCCAGCCCTGCCCTGGGAGGATTCTCAGCTGCCACAGCAAATTCAGTATCATCCCTGGTGTACGTTAGAGTCATTTCCCTCTGACACCCCACAACAGCCTCAAATCTCTTCCCATGCACGTCTGAGGACCTAAATATGATCCTGCAGAGGAAGTTTGGAGTGGAGGAGGAATTTGGGGCTGTGCTGAGCTCCTGTTTGCACAGGAATGTGCACCAGAGAGGGGCTGAAATCTCTCCCATCTCTGGCAGCTCCTGCAGCTTTCCCTGCTCCTGCTCTGCACTGGAGCTTGGGAGGGAGAGCCTGAGCTGGCCAAAACAGACCTGGCAGGCCATGGGGAGGGCTGACTGGCACAGAGGCTGTGTCTCCATGCCTTGCCATGTGAGGAGGGGCACGTATTCAACTGGTGCCCAGGCTGGGTGTTTGTTTAGCCCTGTAGCCACATGCAGCGTGGCATGATAGTTGTGTTTGCTGAGCAAATAAGGCTCTACCAGCAGAATTCACCATTTCTCTGATCCTTGCATGAGTGAATCAATGCTACCTAATAGCTAGAAGCAGGAGCTGTAACTGCTGAATAGGACTGTTCATTTTGCCTTGTAAACACAACTGTTAATCTCTCTGGGGATTAGGCACAAAAAAAAAAAAAAAAAAGGCTTAGAAGAAGCAAACTATTCCCTCCAAGCTTTCCACTCATTCAGCTGGGAAATGGGGGCAGGAGTTTGTTGAAATGATAAGGGAAAATGGAGCTACTTATCATTTGGGAAAGGCAGTGAAGTAGTTAGTGCTCAAAGCTTTGCTTGTGGAAGGTGTCCCTGCCCTGACAGAGGGTGGGAAGAGATGAGCTCTAAGGTCCTTTCCAAGCCAAGCCCTGCCATGTGCTGGAGGAGACAGTTTCATACCCTGGTGATGCCTAAAATACCTGTGTGGTGAATTGCAGAGCAGGTTTTGGTGTGCAAATGCAGGAGAGATTCCTGGGGCTCTTCCCAGCCCCAGTGCCAGTGGGAGCATTCCCTGCAGAACTGAGTGTGCAGGATACAGCCTTGAACGAAGTGTTTAAAGGATCATTAACTTCTTGTCTTCATCCTGTGAGGAGCTTTCCTGATGGGATTCAGCTTTGGGCTCTTTGAAGTGTTTTAGCCAAGTATTTACTCTCTGCCTATGTTACAGTAAGTGCAGATCACTCACTCTGTTGGCTTTAATCCCTGTTCCTTGGCCACATTCCAGCCTGGCTGATTTCAGCTTTGCCTGTTGATACCTAAATTCCTTATTGCCATTTTCGACTTCTCCTTCCCTTCATGTCCCACCATGCAATGTCATGTTTGTGCCTGTTGTGAATCCTCCAGCTCTCTCCATCCCTTCAGCCCAAGGTTGCTGGGACTCCTGGCAGGCTGTAAAACAAGTGATGTCATTGCTTTGCTTTCTCTCAGAAAGTCAATAAATGCCTTCACTTCCTTTAGGACACTAAACCTGGTAGGAAAAAAAAATAAGAGGCAGTGGCTAGGAATTCTTCCTTTGAAATCCATGCTGGGGGAGCTGCTCCCTTTGGCTGTAAAGGGGATTTTTTTTGAGCCTGTGGTGCTGAGAAAACATTTCAGTGCCTGAGCCTGGAGTAGATGTGTCTAGCATCCTCCTGCCTCACTTCCCAGCTCCAAGCAGAGCTGAACCTTCAGCTGAGCCGTTTGCAGCGTTACAGGTGGGAGATGCTTGGGGATGGCTGAGCTGTGGGAGTGCCCAGGATTCAGGTGCATCGCAGGGATTTTCAGGGGATTCACCCACTGCAGGGTACCGTGCCTGAGCGCAGAGCCTGGCAGACACCCAAGCGGAGTGTTTATATTGCTGACGGATAATCCTTTCAGCTCTGAGCTGCAGGCACGGCAGCCCCAGTGTTCCCGTTGTCCTGGCGACGGGATGCGGCGGCTCCGGGATGCTGCGTCTGATCGCATCAGTGTGGAATGCCATCAGCCTTTGGTTGTGCTGATAAACTGCGGAGGGGATGAGGGGGAGTGGGCAGAGCCAGGGAAGAGCAGGGACACCCAGGAATTGGGGCAGAGCTGCTCCAGGGATGCAGGAGAAGGTGCTGGATGTGTTTTGTGTCAGTGTGGGAAAGAACTTCTGGTGCCTGTTTGGTATCAAGGGGTGAATTATCCCTTAAGATCCCCCTTGGATTGATGGGTGAGAGGAGCATTAAGGTGTCCTGGGCTGTTAATGGAAAATCCCCTGCCAGGCAGGTTAGAGAGACAAAGGATGTTGGAGAAATATCTCTATGCTCATGAGACTGGGAAGAGGAGGGGGACAGACCCAAACATCCCTATGCTCATGAGACTGGGAAGGGAAGGGGAACAGACCCAAACCTCCTCGGGCCTGGGACTGGAAGGGGCAGAGCTGTGGATGGTTGGGGTGAGATGCTAATGTTTCATGTCTGGAAGTGTCCAAGACCAGGTTGGATGGAGCTTGGACCACCCTGTGCTGGTGGAAGGTGTCCCTGCCCATGGCAGGGGGTGGGATGAGATGAGCTTTAAGGTCCTTCCAACCCAACCCATTCCATGATCCCATGACAGCTGGGAGTGTGTGCTGGGTCTGTGCAGGAGGAATAGCAGCAGAGCCCAAACCCTGCACAGCCAGCACTTCCAGCCTGATCCCCTCCACACTGCTGAGCTGGGAAGAGCCAAAGTAGAAAAGGCAAAGCTCTGTGACTCCCAGAGCTCCCCCCAACCTACTCCTGTGGCTGCTCAGATTCAGCACCATGTGTCCCTGGAGGGTTTTCTTCGTTTAAGGGGTTTATTGCTTTAATCAGATCTCTGGCTAAGGCCATTCTAATGCCCATCAGGATGAGTCATTCAAGAGCTTGTGAACAAGCTGTGAGCTCAGAGCATCTCCCCATGCTGTGGCTCTTGGGGATCCCCTCCAGCCTGTTCTGGCTCCACTCAGCATTTTGCTGCTGGCTCAGGAAGTCTTTCTTGCAAGGGCAAAGCAGAGACCAAACTGCCAGGGGAGAGGTGCCTCTAGTGCAGGGAGGAGTGTGGTACTGAGTCTTTGCCATCACTGTTTACTCTTTCTTGCTTTCCTTCTATTTCTACCCTGATGTTCCCCATTCCAGGCATTCTTGGAGTTTCCAAGGATGCTATAAGGCACAGTCTGTGTTGGTACTTGGGGGTGAGTGTGCACAGTGCTGCCATGGGCTCAAAAAAAGCCTTGTGCACCTTTTGACCACAACCAACTCTTAAACACATGAGGAACCCAATTTCCCTGGTGACCACATGGCACTGACACAGACAGCAGTGATGCCTTGGAGCAGAGGATGTTCCCAGGGATCCTGACAGATCTCCAGCTGGGAATATTTGGGTTAGGGTGCTGCTAGCCCCAAAGAGCAGAGCTGTGGGGATGTCCTGTGCACTGTCCAGCCCTCTGAGCCTGCTCTCCCCTTCCCCACAGGGCTCTGCCATCCCTCTCAGCACAAGGGAAGATGAACAAGATGAAAAACTTCAAGAGGAGGTTTTCACTCTCGGTTCCACGGACAGAGACCATCGAGGAGTCGCTGACAGAGTTCACAGAGCAGTTCAACCAGCTCAACAACCAGAGGAATGAAGGTAAGGAGCCCCCAGGTCCCTGCTGTGGTGCTGGGGCTGGTCTGGAGCATGTGGGGTCAGTGCTGCCAGCAAGGATCTCCTCTCCAGCCCTTTGGGTGTGTGTGGAAAGTCTCTGCCCCTTCGTGTTGCCTTCCCCAGGTATTAATAACACCTAGTCATTAAACCTGAGGAGAGATTTACACTTGCATAAGGAAAGTCTTATGGGAGGGAAAGGTACTTGCACCAAATGGGGAGGAATGACACATCTGTGGTTAAGGGAGAGAGTGGGAACGTGTGGGATCTCCTCCTGCCTGCCCAGAGCAGGGTGTGAGTCTCTCCAGGGCTACAGGCTGATGCTTCCCCCGAGCCACAGTGGCTGTTCAATCTGTGCTGGGGAGCACTGGGGCTTGCTGAACCAGCTCCTGGACCCACAGCCTTCTCCTGGGAGTTGTTCAGGGCAGCAGGGAGGCTCAGGGTTAGCACATCCCTCCTGCAAACAGGGTGCAGGCTGGGGCAGGCTCTGCTGTCTGCACCATGGCACAGCCAGGGAGAGGCAGTGCTGGAGGCACTGAGGGGGAGCAGCTCAGCCAAGGTGGCTCTGCACAGGCAAGCAGGCAGAGCTGCTGCCAGGCAGGCGTTTGGGAGCTGGGTAAAGTTGGATTCAGCTCATGCAGGGGTGAATTGGCTGTTGAGGGTGCAAAGCTGAGCTGCTCCCAACCAGCAGCCTGCTCATGTGTCCCTGCCCTGGGCTCCTCTCAGCTCACCTTTGAGCTCTTCTTCCCCTCACCCTGCAGCCACAATTGCTAGAAACTTTGGCTGTGAGCAGGGGCTGAGGCCAGTGATGTAATGGCCTGGCACTGGTGCCTGCCCCAGCAGGGAGGGACTGTGTCTGTGCCAGCCAAGCTGCTCGAAGGAGGGATGCAGTAACCTCATTTCAAGCTGGTTTTCCTCACTCCTGCAGCTCCTGAGGCTCTTTATCTCTCCAGACACACAGGCTGCCCTGAACAGCATCCCTCAAGGCCTCCTTCCCTGCTCCCCCCCCCCGCCAGGGCTATAATTAGACTTGAGCCCTTAATTAGCTGTGCAGAAGCTGTGGGGATAAAATGGGGCAAGGCTAAGAGAGTCCTGGGCACTGACAGCTGCTCCTGCTGTTGCCTTCCTTGGGGCATCTCTGCTTGTTACCAGTGCAAACCAGGGAGGTGATTTCCTTGTTCTGCTGTAATGAAGTGTTGGTCACAGGTCTTCCTTTACCCTTGGATGGCAAACCAGTGCAAGCAGCATCTGCCAGTCCCCCCTGGGCTTTTGGGCTTGCTCCTGAGGTAGCCAGGAGAGGATAAGAGCAAAGTCTGAGCAGAGCCTGGAGCCAGGATTGAGGGTGTTTCTGACCCATGGGTAGAGGCTGGACCAGTACTAGACTGGGATATGGTATAGTAAATCCTCCTTACTGGCCCAGTACATGGTGTGGTGTATTAAGAGATCCTCCTGCCTGGCCCAGTACTAGTCCAGGTGTGGTATATGAGGAGATTCTCATATACCAGGGGCTCAGGGGCAGCACCATGGGGTACAGTTCCTCCTGCCTCAGCTTGCCCTCCACACCCTGATTCCCAGTTTGGACCCAATTCCTCTCCCACAGAGCCCAGGCAGAACACACAGCCCCTGCTGTACCCACCACCCCCAACCCTTTCCCTTCTGCCTGAGATCTTGTGATTAAGTTCCCTGTGGGGATTGTAAACAACGTGGAGAAGTCACCTCTGTGGTGCCCTTAATCTCATCTCCTGCACTTGTTTATGGAGGGCCCTGACAGCCACATTTGTCTGAGGCATCTCTTGGCTGTTAATGAACCCTCTGGGCCAGAGCTCATCACCCACAGCCCATGCAGGACTTGGCAGGGGCTCAGCAGGGGGAAACTGGAGGAGGGAAAAGCAGGAGGAGATGTTTGGGCACGGGGTGGGAGTGATGCTTCAGGTGTGCAGAGGGACAGGATGGTTTTGGTGGTGCTGGGAGGGGTTGATACACTTAGGCTGCTCTTACAGGGTTTGTGGTGAGGTTTGGCTCTGACTTGGCTTCTCCCAGAGATGTTTGTCCCCATTTTGCAGATGGAGAATCAAAATGCAGAGGGGGAAAAAGAACTTTGCTCCAGCTGTGGGTAGCAGAGCTGAGCCTAGAGCCGTGGCAGCTTCTCCTGAGCTGCTTCTCCTCCCCATGAAACAGCTTCACTGCAGGTGTCACCTGCCTTGCTCAGGACCTCTGGGCTGGCTCTGCTGTCCCCAAGGCTCCAGACTCACCTGCAGTGATTTTGTCTCTCCTGGTGATGCCCAGTGACAGCTCAGGCACTGTGATCACTGCTCCAGAGACAAGTGCTAATCACAGCAGAGATCAACACCTCGGTTTTTTCTTGTGTCACCTCCTGTAGCTCCTCAGGGAATTGGCTGCAGTTTGTTTTTTCCCTCCAGCATCAGAAATCACAGGTTAGCACCTTCCCAGGTCATGGCAGTGTGCAAATCCCACACTTTGGTGGCTGTGAGGGTCTGTCCCTGTCTTTGGGGTGATGCAGAGATGAGAGTTTCTCTTGAGGTGCTCCAAGAGCATCTGCAGAGCTGCTCTGGCTCATGTCATGGGATGAGGCAGGGCC